TTCGTGTAAAAAATAAGAAAAATAAATAATAGAAAAGTTTTAGAATCGAAGATAGGTGTGTACGACCGTGGAGAGAACGATTGGACATCTCGATAAATCTGAAAATTGAAGTCGGTATTACGGTCGGCAAGCACGCTGCCGTTGCACCGACCAAAATTACATCCGACTCGTATCACTGTGTTCTCTCTCTCTCTCTCTCTCTCTCTCTACGACCCTTGATATTCGTACGTCATTCCGCGGGAATATTCGTCGTGCGAGCTGCGAAGACGAGTTATCGTGGTGGTGGTGGTGGTGGTGGTAGTGTTGCTAGTGGTGGTGGTGGAAGTAAAGGGGGTGCAAGGGGGTGCGAGCGAAGGTGGGAAACGAAACGCGGTCGTCGCGAGCCAGGCAACGAATCGATAGCTGGACGATTCAACCCTCTCGACGTCCCCCTTCCTCCAACCATCCCTTATGAATTTCCTCGGGAATCCGCGACTCGTTTTCCGCACGCTTACCACCGGACGCGGAACGTTGCCGCGGTATTAGCATAACGAGATTCTCCTCGTGCACGTAACACGGAGACGTCGTCGCTTCGCGAACCACCCCCGTCCCCGTCGAGGGGTGTTGATCCCCTCTTTCCCTTTCCTCCTTCCTATCGCGAATTTGCATGGCCCATTTAAACGCAATTTCTTTTCCTCGATCGAGGAATTACGTGAATACTCGACCCACCCACCCACCTCCTCTTCTTAACCATCCTTGCCAACTTATCGGATATTTTTCTCCAATAGGATGAACGGTCAGTCGGATTACAACGTGGAACAGAACTTTAAAGATTGAAACTCTTTCTCCATTTATCTCTCTCTCTTTCTCTCTGGATTATGTGTGATTTTAAGATTATAAAAGTCGGGTAACGAGGGTATCGCGATAAATCGATCGATTGGACGATCTTTTTTGTATGCTCAACTAAAAATATAAGAGACATTCGAGCACGCAGTAATCTTATCGTGCTTTTGATTTTTCCTCATATTTTCAAATATACTTGTTTTCTTTTTGTTGCGATACTCCACCGAAACACCAGAAGATCTTTTCTTAAATAAAATCATATCTACTCGTTCCTTTAAGAAACGTTTTTATATCCAAACATAGATATAATCGAAATAATGAAAGATCAACGTGACTTGTTATCAAAGTATATTCTATCTAAAATAACAATATATACCTTTAGCATATTTCAGATAAATATTTCCCACCGATATAACTAGGTGATCGACGTCGATGAGGAAGAAGCGGAAGAGGATGAAAAGGAAAAGAAAGAAAAGAGAAAAAGGATAAAAAAAAAGGGGGCACAAAACGAGAGACAGAATAAAATAAAATAAAATAAAGAAAAAATATATGAAAAGCAGAGACACATCGGTGAAGGCGACGGATAAATACGCGATGATCATCAACGTGATTCAACAGCAGCAAGGCTTTCCCATCTTCGGGCTTCGACACTTCTCCGCGATCGTTTATCGATTGTAGCGAGAAAAAGAACTAAATAAAAGAAAAAAAGCAACTCTCGTCAAGAAGAAGAAGAAGAAGAAGAAGAAGAAGAAGAAAAAGAGGAAGAGGAGGAGGAGGAGGAGAAAGAAAAAAAAATAGAAGCTTTAGGATCTCGAAGATGAGTAGTCCGACTCTCTCTCTTTCTCTCTCGTTCGTTCCTCTTGAAACACCCTCGACCCCCAACCCTCAACCCCCTGGCGTCTACGACAGAACAGAGGCATCTTCGTTAAGTTCGTTTCCGAGTGAACGGCTGAACGTCGTGCGATAAACTTCGTCCTTTTACGGTTATGCGTTCACGTTTATAGTCATTGACCCAGATTTAAGGGGTTGCCGGAGTACGTTGGAAATTAACGAAGGCTAGTCTTACCTCTTTCTTTCTCCTTCGTTTCTTACTTTTCTTATTTGATTAAGTTTCACCGTGGTTACATATACAACGTACCTACCCCCGTTTCTATTTATTTTTCTTCCACACCATATTTTTTCGTTTACAAAATTGTGATGCATATTCATTACACGTTTTAATTCTACCTAATGATACGCGCGAAATACGCGCATGTCGTCGTATCTTGTCTTTTCTCTCTCTCTCTCCTTACTTTCTCTTTCTTTTGAAATATGTATATTCCTTGCATATATGACAACAATTATGAAATAACGTGACTTGATAAGATCGTTTCATTTTCATTAAGATTATAGTCGTTTGCAGATCTCTTACATTTAACGCAACCTAAAAAGTTTCATATAATCATCATTTTTATTGATAATTGGTAATTCTTAATTATCCTACTCGATGAAGAAAAAGATACATTTTATCGATGAAAGAGAAGATACTTTTTCCTTTTCGTAATAAATATTAGTTTTGCATTAGAAAGTATCGATAAAATGATTTAAAATTGAATATACGTGTGATAGATGAAATCGAAGAACTGCGAGATAACTCGGTAGGATCGTAAAATAGATACGAATGGAGATTTTGCTATCTAGTCAGATAGCGATTACCAACAACGACGACGCAAATACCATAAGTAGATATGGTCGAATTGAAGACTAGGGTGTTGAGGAGAAACCACTGATATGAGTTTTATCATGCACGTGATATTCGAGAAAGATACACATATTTGCGTTTTCCTCCAAAACGTTTTGCATATTCGCGGGAGAAAAACACACACAGAGAGATAAAAGACGTAGAAAAGGAAAAGGTACACGTATGCTTTTATTTTTCTTTAAATCGGACTATAACACGAACTCGTTGCTTTCATTTACCGACGAGAAAATGAGCAAGCTTCGGTGAAAGGACGCGTAATTAATTTACTTCTCTCGATATCTCTCTTCCCAAAAGCTTCGTCATTTTTCATTTAAGGGCTTGCTTGCTGGAAGGCTTCTCTTCTCTTCTCTATTCTACTACGACGAGTCTATCATCGCGATAATTATTACGCGTTAACATTATGTTCGTATCACTAAATTTGTAGAACAGTTACATTACACTTTAATACACGAGCTCAAATTTTCTCTCCCATTTCCAGCCCCTCCCTCCCTCCCTCCCTCCCTCCTCACTCTCTCTTTCTCCCAATCCTATATTTCAACTTCAAAATGTTCATAATAAAATCAACATCGCTTTGAAAGTAATCCAACAACTTTTCCTTTGATATTACAAACGACATATCTTCACGTTTAACAAAAGTTTCGAATAAAATCTCATTAGATATTCGGATCGTTTTATTTAATTTAACAATTGCAATGTTTATTAATAAAAAAAATTGACGCCATTCAAAGAAACTAATGTAACAAATTTGGAAAATTGGAAATTGGAAACTTTATGCCTAAACTTTTCGTTCCGAATAGATGCATAAATAATTGTATATTAAATGTTGTTGGATTTAACTTATAGGACTACTTTGAAACATTATATTGGTCAGAGTGTACGCGTCCATATGAGCGATACTATGAAATCTATGGAAATTCAGTGAACACGAAAAAGTTATAAGTCACAGTTAGGCGTCCTATCGGTCATCTAGCCGGACGAGTCAGCCGTCTATATAAATTTAAAAACATCAACTCGATGGCACGAACGCAACGGTACTCATATACGCAAGCGACCGAGAGAGAACGCTATTAAAAAAGATAAAAAAAAAAAAAAAGAGGAAGAGACAACGAATAAAAAAATCAAACAGGAAGTAAAAGGGAAAAAAAGAAAAAATAGGAAGTGAAGGGGGAGTAAACGAGAGAGAAAGGGAGTGGGCTTGGTCGCCAGAAAGGGACAAAGGTGAAAGACAAAGAGAACGATAGACAGATAGATAGATAGATAGATAGATAAAGAGAGAGAGGGAGAGAGAGAGAGAGAGAGAGAGAGAGAGAGAGATGTGGGATGTAACGCGAGAATGCGAATTCCGCGTGGCGATTTATGGGAAACGAAGGCCCGACTATAAAATAACACTTCCCATTCAAATCGCTAAATTAATGGCCGTTTTCATGGATTCTTTGTTTGCACCGAGAACCTCGACAATAGCCCCGACTCTACGTTGAGTTATTATTCTAAAATGGCGAGCCGATAGGCACAACGACGACGTTTCTCTTTTTCTACTCTGCTCCTCCCCCCCCCCCCCCCCCCCCCGCCCCGTAGAATTAACGCTAAATTCTTCATGCGTTCCCACATGTTTTTCTCGGACAATGAAAAGGTTCATCTCTTCGTATCGTCGAGGGCCATTTATTCTTAACGATCCTTCATTTTCTTGCGACAACATTGATTCGCTTTATTTGTCAAATTGAAATAATTTAATTTAGATTTTTATTCGTAATTTTTCTTACTATCATCGTTTAAGAGATCTTCTTGAGAATTATTAAAAGTTACAATCTTGAAAAATATTCGCAACTAGGGACAAAAGTTAAGGGTTCGTGTTTAAATGAGCCACTTAATGTTCGATCGTTAATCGAGATGATTAATATACGTATTCGCGTAAAGTTCATTATCGATCTATGCTTGTCAAGAGAAAGAAAGAGAAAATGGAAGATAAAGTAGACGATTAAAATGAGTAAGATGAGGATCATGACGTATTGCGAAATTTCCTGAAAATTTCGTTACAGAATTCTAATTACGTATATACGTAGCCGAGAAATACAATACACAGAATTCATCCGTAGAAATTAGATTGTCTTTAAACAGGTAGTGTCTGTTCTCTCTTCTCATTTTCTCAGTTAAATCTGATAAGCATTACTAAAACATCTTGCAAATCTCCTTTTGCTTCCCTCGTAAGCTTCCAATCTCCATATTTTCGGTTATTCGATTGGAGATAGTCAGAAAAAGCGACCCTTGCTTTTCTCGATGGGAATTCGATTGTATCTTGACACATATTTGATACGAACGTCCAGATCCTATATGATTTATTAAAACTTTTATGGTCGGAAAAAACAAAATAGTCGATGTATTTATTGCGAATGAACGAGAGGGATAAAAAACAAAAAATATTGAAACGCGTTTACCCCTTTTAACATTTACAAAGAAAATTGATTGCCAAGTGAAATAGATCATTGATAAAAAGAGGGTGGAGGGAAAATAATTGAAAGAACTCACCTTGCACAGGCGTGTAAATGTTGAGGTAGAGACAATCCTCGCTTTGATTACGAAGATAGGGTAGTAATCTTCTGAGATATTCGAGCCTGCCTTTGGGCATCTTGTCGGTCAATTCCGGAAGCTTTTGCGGACAGACGGGTCCGAATTTATCGGCGACCTTGACGCCGTGCCACAAGGCGCCACTAACGGGCGGCATAAACCGTAAGGAACCGATCGGGGGGGAGGCGTATGGTACACCACGAAATACCTCGACACCCTCCAGATAACGATCGAGGGTGACTATTACACCGGACAACTCGCCGTATTTCGTCCTGACGATTCGAGAGCTGAGCTCGGCGCCTGCCAGCGCGGCGAGCATCAGCTCCAACACCAGGATCATCGACGCCAGAATCATCGACGATGACGTTGACCACCTCAACATACTCTTCCGTAATCCTTTTTGTTAGATCCCTCAATCGATCATGACGACGACGACGACGACGACGACGACGACGACGACAACAACCACCTCGACATCTTTTTTTCTTGATAATTAATTAGAAATCTTCAACGACAATCACCTCAACATTCTTCGGCTGATTCTACGGCTAATCCTCTTCATTCGGCTCTCACTTCATAGTCTTTTTTAAAGGAATTAATTCTTTCCCGCTCATCCTCAAGTTTCGAGCCGGTTAAAGGATACGCTCGAGACCATAGTTCAGCAAGGATTTACCGAACGCATCTAAACACTGGCCAATTTTGTAAGCCACCTCCCGACGGAAGACAAAGTCGAGAGAGGCTGATGGATCTTACCTCGAATTTCGACATACCTTCTTTCTTATCATGTCAATTATTTTTAACACTTTTGTTTCTACTCGTAGATAATCCCACCTCCGATAACAAAATGATTATTTAATCGTACACTTTTTTGGAAAATCACACAGACGAAATGACACTGGGTAAAAAGGAATGGAACAAACGAAACGACGATTGGAATTTATTTAAGGAAATACGAATTTCCTTTGATATCGGGTATTTGCGTAAACGTTTCATTTTAATTTCACTCGAAAATAACGCGAGGGAAGATCTTCGTACACCGGTTGATCGAAAACAGTTCACTCACAGCCGCTTTTTTGTCTCGGGGCGAGTCTCTTTGGACGGAGCAAGATTCGGCAAATATTAGTAGACCTTTTTTTTAGCTGAACAACTGTTTCTTATGCTTTCATTCAATCGATCTTCCTTCTCTCTCTCTCTCTCTTTCTCCTCCTCGAGCTGGAGTAATCAACGTGTTGTTGTAGATGAACACCGCCACGCCGTAATACAGAGACAAAAGGAAAGAAAAAAGAATAAAAATGTATCACAGGATAAATGACAATATACGAATACCACCGATTCCTAACGATTAATTAGGTTTACCATTGGAGAGATTAAAGGAAGAACACTAGATTCACTCACTAAGAGTCATCATGATCATCTCACAAATTGAAGACAACACTGACCAACACTTTTACTATCCACTATTTCCTAAAAACGTTTTCTTCGATCACTGAGATTGCTGCACGGTTATCACGAGACGCGGACGATGAAAAATTAGTGAAAAGGAGAGAGTCGCGTTTGTTTTGTTTCCTCTTTCGTTCTTTTTTTTTGTCAAATTTGTGAAATATATTTATCGCAAAGGATGCAGTAAGGAACCGACGGAGGGGCCGGTGGCAGACGTTGGCGTGACTTCGACCCCCGACGGACTGGCATTAGGAAAGAGCTTGCACGTTGTCCTGCGCGTGCGTCGAACGACGTTGGTCGCCGTTCGAACTGTTAAGAGTGGGAGAACCTAGACCACCCCACGCGCATCACAGCCAGGGACGTGGCCGGAAGTATAGGCAAACCGGTCGATACGGCAGGCTGAGGTCGATCAAGGATAAGCTGGTTTGAGTCTGAGATTCCTTTCCTTACAAGAAATCGACAAGACTAGATCAAAGTATCCGCAGATCAATGATCATTTCATATCTCACCTTCCTTTCCATTCAACTTTCCATACTTTTTAATATCGCCTTATCTATATTCCTTTGAAAATTAGAAAAAATTAAGCCCCGAAGATAAAGGCACACGAATTATGTGTGATTTTTTTCGATATCATAAATAGAATTTGGATAAAAGTGATTCATTTTGAGAGATCGATTGATCAATTACGAAATAAAAACTTATGGGCGTCAAAGTTTTCAGAACACATTACGCGTGAACGATCAAAAAATGGAATATCAAATTAAAGTTTAATATACGTAAACTATCTTTTGATCGAAAAGACGAGCACTCGGTATACCGATTTTGCAACGAACGAAAAGCATTAACGCTAATGCGCATGCCTCGTCCTTCTGACTTCCTCCTTGATGTTTTGTGTCTGACATGATGTGTACCTTTACCACTTCCCGCCGGCATTTTCCCATTTCTCTCCTTCTACGGTTCCTTCATCTCAAATATAAACTCTAGAAAACGACGTTCGGCTGCTCCTCTGGTTGGGCTCTTTCAGCTTCGCGCCCTTTTTCACTAAAGTACTCGTTTTTAAACCGTCAGTCGAAAGATCAATTTAGTTGCTCGTAAAAGGGCAACACCTTTTTTTTTTCTTTTGCCTAATTTCATTCAAGTAAAATAGAAAATTATTCATTTTATTAATTTTATATAAATATATTAACACAAATTTGTATATAATATGAACCAAAAGGTTGACTCGCGTGTGCTTTTTAATATGCACTTTGTCAATTATCCCGTATCAATAACTTATATGTAGTACACGTTGCAACGTAAAGTAATATTGTATGCTGCTTGTTTGTTTCCAAAAGAGAAACATTCCTTTTTATTCTTTTTTTCTACTTAACTATAAACAATATATAATGCATATCTTGATCTTTTCATCGCGGATCACGCGATTCGTTGAAAATCTAAAACCGGACTATCGTAGTTCGTTAATGGTACACCTGATTTGCAAATAAATTCGGGATTCGATTAGCTCTCGATTATTTATAATCGTGCTCGCGCTCAGCTACTCTCGACCGGATACATGTATAATTTGTTCATCGGTTATGCAAATTCACGCAAAGCCGTTGCGCAGTGCTCGTATTTGCTTGAAAATTGCAGGATTATGTATACTTAATTAGAAGTAACTAAGAAGTAATTACACTATAATGAGTTAGCTGGTGATACGTTGTTACTCCTATTCTTTAACGAGTAATACTCTTTTCTCAAACGAGCTACCTGCCTTGATTTTCACTAAAGCGCGTACCTTCCTTTCTTTTCAAATATTTTACTTTCAACATTTTACTACGATAATTAAAAAAAACTTTCAATTTTCTATTAATAACATCAAAGAGAAGAGACCGTCATTTTCCATTTTATTATTATTCATTTTTTAATTATCGGAAAAATCGTTTGTTCCAAGTAGATTCTATATAACTATACACATAATTCTATACGATATATATTCGTACAACCCATACATATATTCTGACGGTATACACATAATTATCTCTCAATAGAAAATCAACATATATTATACATATGTGCTCACATAGTGATTAAATGGCATAGATATAGAAATGATATATACGTATACTATATAATATACGAATATCCAACACGTCTAACTCGAGATTTTGAGAGAGAAAATTAACTCACGCTCGTTGTGTAGATTTCCAATGATTTTCGCGAAACTACCAAAATACATTTTGCTCCATTTTTATTATTTTTTTCGTGCAACAATACAGTAACCCATTATCGAACGTTTCTCATGGTAAAGCTTTAAAAGTGGCCTTTTTTTGAAGGGCTGCAAGAATGGAGGTGGAGGAAAGCTCTCTATTCCATTCGACGATAACGTTAACGGGAGAAAACGTCGACTATACATATTTCAGAGTTTGTATCGGCTCGTCGTTGTTCAAAGTTCCTATCTGTAAGAAACGCCGAGCACAGACGCTTCACAGCATCATACGTTTTTCTTAAAAGTCGTGAATTACTCTATCTAAAATCTATGCTAAAATCTATTGAAAGTTTAAGATAGAAAATTTCGAAAGATTTTTCAAACGATAATATTTTCATTATTTCTTTTACGCAGGATAACTATAATAATTTCAATGCACTTTTATTATTTTACTTATAGAAAAATGGTACGCGTTTTTAAGGTTTAACTTATTGCATAGCATTAACTGTATGCCGTTGAGATCAGAACGATGAAATTCAATTGATTTGAACCTACCCAGTGAACTCGATCGTTGCGACGGACATAATTTACGATGTTCAACGTTGCGTGCAACAATCCGTGATTTATCTCGTGTTCTCTCGTAAGGCGATAACGCGCTAAGACGAAAGAACGAAATTTTTGGTGAATTTCAGCAGCGAGCGCAACTGCAACAGCAATAACAACAACGAAAGAAAGAGATAAAAAAAGTGTGGAAGAATATTACGAATGTACGATTCGATCTCATGGACGATAAAATAGAAAGCCGTAGTGGCTTTATTAAATTTTGAGCGTGAATAGGTGCGAGCTAGCGTTTCGCGAAAAAAGGAACAAAATGTATCGTCCGAAATAATAGAAGCACTGGCGCATCGTGCGACAAACAATAGCCGATGACCGACGACTCGATTTTACCGGTTGTTTCACAAATATTTCAAGCGAATTCTCTACGAGATGACGGGAAGAAGCTACAGACTTTATTATTTTCCTTTACCTACACGCTCAATAATTCCTATCAACGGATTATATTATAACGAGAACTTTCAACATATTATTTTATAATGTTATACAGAACTAATATATATATATATATATATATATATATATATTCATATTATATTATTCAAATATTTCTATATTTTATGTTATACTCATATACTTAGTATGTATGATGTTTTCACATAGCATTAACATAATTTACATTTACGTTCGCCAAGTTTTAAGTAGGTATCTTCCGAGGAAAAAAACAAATAAAAATCGTAACGACGATAACGGACGGTGAAATGGTCGAGAGCGTGTATTCCACGCTCGTACCATTTTCTTCGACGATAATCGACTTGCCTCGCGTTATCCTCTAGAGAGGATGAGACAGGAAGTCTAATGCGATGCGAATCACGTAATGTGTTTCTTTGGGTACTCAGAATGTTCCTACCAGTCGAAATTGTGACCGAACGAAGTCAATTTGCTCGAGTTTAAACTGCAAATAATTGCTTCAACTATTTTATTTCGATCTGTCCGAACGAAATGTGAACATCATTTTGTGTACAAATGTTTTATACAAAATAAATCATAAAAAAGTAAATATATGAAACCTTTTGATAGTTTCAATATACGTAAGTACTTCTCGTTCGTAAAAATAAAAATAACCCTATCTTTTAATAGACTTTGCTGAATACTCTTTTCAACCCCTGAGTTTCCGTACTAGGTCAGATAATGAAGATATCATTGTGCTTAACCAAGCTTATCAAGTTGTTGCATTTTGATACAGTAAAAAATGATTAAGAACGCGATGGCGGACATGACAGGAATGAAGAACCGGTTTATACCGATAGTAGTAGACTCGAGTACTCTTTAAACGATTCAACTAGGATCTTAATCTCTTACATAATGCGTAATTAATTATAATGAAACGTAATATTGTTGTATATGTATCAAATCTGTACGGTTTTCAACAAACGTCAGTCACTCGTTTTGCAACCTGTTGAATCGCTTTTAAATAATATATATTTTTCATATCAAACGAGTTAAACTATTATTTATGCGTACATATTGTTGTCAGTACTTTAAATATATTAATTGTATATATGAGAACAGGCAGATTATTTCAATAAAATCTTAGAAGAACAGGAATAAAGTAAGTTAAAATATGGAACTCTTATAGGGAAGATTATGGGGGAATCGAGCGGACGATAATTGAGCTACTCGTGTGAACGTTCCCACGAGGGTTGGGACTTCCCTAAATTGAGAAGAAACCGACCGAGAATGTTTTTCTTTCACGAATACAGAAAAGTACGTTACTTTGCATCGATAATTTAAGAGGTCGATCCGTAATTATCCAGTTTAATTGGCAAAAGTTTCGATCGTAAAAATAATAGAAAACGTTTACGATATCGGAGAGAAAATTTCGAATGAATCTTTTAAGAAGCGGACAGATAATTCGTACGAGTTCGTATTATCGACTCGGCAAACATTATTCTTACCATTTACCATAAATAATAGTGTTCCCTCTAAACGAACAAAGTTATATGGGATCGCAAATGAGTTTAACAAAATTCATTTGTACGATCAATGCTAGACAAAAGAAAATCTCTATTACCAGTGTCATTATATTTTCTCTAGGGGTTTGCAGTATATTGAAAAAATAGATTAATCATTATATAATCTTGAATTTTGTATCATGAAAAAATATTGAATTGACGAATGACTTACACGCGTCGCGTATACCGAGACAGTTTAAAAGATAGAAATACTTTTTAGCTATTACCGACGAGCGTTATACAGCGACACGTTACGTGCCCTTATAACCAAGGGTGTTTTCGATTTATAACGACGTGCGACCACCCGCAAGGTTGGCACTCGCTGTTCGACGGGCCACCCACGTGCAGATGATAAATCTTTGGACCTACGGATACAGTTTCTGTCTGCTAAATCCAACATGAAATCGCGAGCTATAGTGTCCGTCAGCCATAATAAATCGACACCCCTTTTCCTTCTATTTTTTTTCTTCAAATTT